GATTCTCTCCACAGATGCTGCCAGACCTGCTGAGCTTTTCCAGCAATTTCTGTTTTTGTCTCTGATTTACAACAACTGCAGTTCTTTCGGTTCTTGTGCAACTATTTATATCTGTTTTTAGCCTCCAGAATATTTTAAGTGCTCAAGACTTTAAGTAGCTGAGCAGATTGTTTGGTGGTTTGTAACATTTTATCTTGTAAACATAGGCAGGCATTTAAATTGGTACAGGGAAGAAATAAGTGTTGCAATAAATTTATTTCTTATCTGGTTTATCTACTTGGTATAACTACAGATGACAATTAAGTCTATATTTCCAAACTTAAAACCTAATGGTTAAATAAAACATGACAAAGATGGCAGAATAGATGATATGTCACAAATGTAGCATAACGGGGCCAGATGGAGGCCAGTACAATCAACAGCAACCACATCTGTGCTCAATGTCTATAGCTTGTGGAACTTCTGCCCTGAATTGTTGAGCTGGAGTTTGAACTTTGGACACTACAAGGTATTGGGGAGAGGCAAAGTTGAACATTTTGTTCCAGGAGGCAGTCACAGCCCTTAGTCTCAGAAATTCACATTTGTTCCATGGTCAGGGACAGTAATGTATGACGGTGAGTGAGGCAGGTATGAGGATCTAGAAGGCAGTGTTGGAGGAGCCTCAGCCCTTGCAATTGTCCAAAAGGTTAAACATTCATAGAATCCCCACAGTGTGGAAGCAGGCCATTCGGCCCATCAAGTCCACACCAAACCTCCCACCCAGATCCAAGCACTCGACCCTGCCTCTGTAATCCTGCATATCCCATGGATAATCCACCTAGCCTGCACATCCCTTCCTACCATGGACAGTTTAGCATTGCCAGTCCACCTAACCTGCATGTCCTTGGACAGTTGGAAACCCGGGCACCTGGAGGAAACCCACGCAGACACGGGAAGAATGTGCAAACTGCACACACACAGTCGCCGAGGGTGGATTTGAACCCAGCCCCTGGTCCTGTGAAGTGGCGGTGCTAGCCATTAAGCCGCCCCCTGTAGTCTGAGCAGGGACTGCAGAAACGATGGGTAAAGTAACAAGAGCACAGTGGTACAGGGACCACTTAAGTAGGGGTTGAAAATAAATGTAGCTGTGGACAACATAATTAGGGTAGATACTGTTCTCTGTGGCCAAGAACATGCATCCTGAACACACACTGTTGCCTACCTGATGCCAGGGTTAAAGGCAACACTTTTAATAGGACCTTTCAGTGGGAGGGGAGGATCCAGTTGTTGTGGTTCACATGGTAACAATGACATCGTTCAAACTAGGAAAGAGGTCCTGCTGGGGAAAGTACAAGCAGCCAAATTTAAAAGCAAAGGTAACAGTCTCTGGGTTAATAAAACCAAAATACTGCCAATGTTGGAATTCTCAAACATACATATAGAATGCTGGTGAAACTCAACAGGTCTGGTAGTATCTGAGGAGAGAGAAATGGAGGAAAAGTTTTTAACTCCCCTTCAGAATTATGGATTATGACCTGAGCCATAAGCAAATTGGTATGGGCTAAATAAGATCCAGGCATTAAATGCCTATATAGATGGTAGAGGCAGAAACTCATATAATATTTTAGAAATACTTAGATACAGACTCGTGATGCCAAGGCATACAAGGCAATAGGCCAAGTGCTGGAAAATATGTTTAAAATAGTTAAGTAGTTGTTTTGACTGGTGTAGATTTCATGTGCTGAAGGGCATTTTCCACGCTGTTTACCTCTGTGATTCCATGTCTCAATGATAGGTGTGAGAGAAATGGGTTTCAATTCATGGCGCACTGGCACCAGTGCGAGGAGGGGAAAGAAGGTGCTGCACCATTGGCATGGCCTTCATGAAACCAAACTGAGATAGTAAGGGACAGAGAGTATAAGCGTATGAGTGCGCCAGCAAATACGAATAGAGTTGGGAAAATGGTAAAAAGTCAGAATTAAAGAATCTTTATCTGATTGCAAGCAGCATCCACAACAAGATAGATAAATTGGTAGCATAATTGGAAACGGATGAATACGATATGAAAGCCATTATAAGGCGTTATTACAAAGTGACCAGAGAAAGCGGAGTATCAAACGGTTTTTGACATTTTGGAAGGATATGTACAAAAATAGTCAGGTTAGATGGAGGATGAGACCACGCATAGTAAAAGAGACTGAGATCAGGTACAGTATTAATAGAGAATGAGATCTGTTCACTATTAATATGGGATGAGATTTGGTGCAGTCTTACAGGGGATGAGAATGGGTACAGTAATAGGGGATTAGATGGGAAACAGGAATAGTATGGGATGCGATTGGGTCCAGTATTAATTGAGGATGAGATCAAATATAGTATTATTAGGGATGAGATGAGGTGGAGTATTATTAGGGGAACAGGTCAGGTACACTATTAGGCGATGAGATCAGGTACAGTATTAATAGGAAAGGAGAGCAGGTAGAGTATAAGTAGGGGATGAGATTGAGTACATTGTTAGGGGATGAGATTGCATACAGTATTAAGAGGATGTGATCATGTAGAGTATTAGTTGAAGATGAGACTGGGTACAGTATTAGTAGGGAATGAGATTGGGTACAGTATTGGGAATGAGATCAGATAGAATATTAATAGGGGATGTGATCTGATAAAGTATTAGAGCAGGAGATCAGTACAGTATTCGGGGGCACGATTGGATACAGTATTAGTCAATGAGATTGGGTACAGTATTAATAGGGGATGAAGTCGGATACGGATTAAAGAATAATAGCTAATGAAGGATGTGATCAGACACCGGATTAATGGGGGTTGAGATCAGGTGCAGTATTAATAGGGGATGGGATCAGGTACAGATTAGAGGATGAGAACAAATACGGTATTAGCGGGATAAAGATCAGATACAGTAATAGGGAATGATATCAGTAGGGATGACATAAGGTAGAGAAATAGTAGGGAATGAGAGCAAGTATAGTAATAGAGGATGAGAATGGGCACAGTATTAATAGGGGAACAGTATGAGGCAATGAGATCAGGTACAGCAGTAGTAGGGAATGAAATAGGTGTGGTATTAGCAGATGAAATTAGGTACAGTATGAGAGGTTGAGAGCAGGTACAGCATTAATCAGGGATGAGAGCAGGTACAGTATTGGAGGATGAGACCAATTACACCATTTAGAAGGATGAGATTGCGTACTTTGAGTCATAGAGGTTTTCAGAATAGAACCAGGCCCTTCGACCTAAGTCCATGCTGCTCAGATTTCACAGTTAATCTAGTCCCATTTGCCTGTGTTTGGTCCATATCCATCCATACCTATTCCGTACACATACCCATCCAAGTGTTCGTTAAATGACAAAATTGTACTCGCCTCCACCACTACCTCTGGCAGCCCATTCCAGACACTCACCACCTCTGTGTGAATAAATTGCCCTTCTTGACCCGTTTGTATTGCTCCCCTCTCACCTTAAACCTACGTCCTCTAGTTTTAGACTCCCCTACCATGGAACAGAGCTATTGGCTATCTAACTTAACTATGCCTCTCATAATTTTATAGACCCCTGTAAGGTCACTCCTCAGTCTCCTACACTCCAGGGGGAAGAAGTTCCAGCTTTTCCAGCCTCTTCTTATAACTCAAACCTTCCAGTACAGGTAGTATCTAGCAAATCTTTTCTGCATTCTTTCTAGTTTAATAATATCCTTTCTTTAGTAGGGTGATCAGAACTGCATGCAATACTCCAGATGTGGCCTTGTACAGCTGCAACAAGGTGTCCCAACCCCTGTACTCAGTGCTCTGACCAATGAAGACAAGCATGCCAAAAGCCGTCTTCACCACCCTGTCTGCCTGTGAATCCACTTTCAAGGACCTATGAACCTGTACCCCTGGATCTCTTTGTTCTATAACACTCCCCAGGGCCCTACCATTCACTGTGTAAGTCCTGTCCTGGTTTAACGTTTCAAAACCTTGCATTCATCTAAATTAAACTCCATCTGCCATTCCTCAGCCCACTGGCCCAGTTGATCAAGATCTTACTGTCATCCTAGATAACCTCCTTTATTGTCCACTATACCACCAATCTTGCTATCATCCACAAACTTACTAACCATACCTCCTAAATTCTCATCCAAATCATTTATATAAATGACAAATAAAAGTGGACCCAGCACCGATCCCTGTGGCACACTGCTGGTCACAGGCCTCCAGTTTGAAACATCTACTGCTCTGCCCTCATCTACTTTTTTGGTCATCCCTTCAAAAAAACTCAATCAAATTTGTAAGGCATGATTTTCCATGCAAAAAGCCATGCTGACTATCCCAAATGAGTCCATGCCTCTCCAAATGCCTGTAGATCCTGTCTCTCAGAAACCCTCTAACA